GGCGGGGGGTAGGGCGTCATTTACTCACTGGCTTCGGCACAGCTCCTCTCAGAAACTTGGGGTGATTCTTGTGAATATCAACTCAGATGTAGGGTCCTGAGGAATATAAGTCCGAGAGAAATCTAATATACTTGTAACATCTTCTGGCCCCAGTTTCTAGGACACTGTGTTGTTGAGAGTCTCCACCGTGTTGATGTGATTTATCTCCGGGTCAGGTTTTCAGCGTTTGGAGACAGATGTGTCATTTGAACTTAAGATATTGCAATTACAATGATGAACACATAGGCGGTTTTAGTACTTTCCCTTAAAATACAATTAGTCCATTTCTGTGGAGGCATTGATTGAGTTCTAGATGCTGTTCTTAAAATTAGAAATATTTAGTGCAGTGAGTTCACTTCTGTTGACCAGTGTAACTAATTGAACCACCACAGTCCTAAAGCCGCAACATAGAGGGACATTTTGCATTCAGATTTTACATTCTAAGAGGTCCGTATTTATACAAATATCCACTTTTTTTTTAATGCTTTTTAAAAAAATTATCATTATTATTGGTATGTGCCCCTAGCGGGAACCAAACTCGGGACTCTCTGGTCTGCAGGCCGATGCTCCAACCGCTGAGCCAAACCGGCCAGGGCCAGATATCCGCTTTTGAATGTGATTATTCATCAGCATTTATTTTTTGTTTTGTTTTGTTTTTAATCCTCACCCGAGGATATTTTTCCATTTTTTGTACAGATAGAGTGGGAGGGAGAGAGAGGAAGTGAGAGAGAGAGAGAAACATCGACGTGAAGGGACACATCGAGTGGCTGCCACCCGCACGACCAACCAGGGCCGGGGACAAACTGCAACCGAAGTACATGCCCTTAGCGGGAACCGAACCCGGGTCTCTCCGGACCGCAGGCCGACGCTCTAACCGCTGAGCCAAACTGGCCAGGGCTCATCAGCATTTAAATGCAGTGCCACTGCTACTGAAAAAGACAATCACTTAGAGGGTATATTTGATTTTTTTTTTTTAAACCAAAATCCCACACTTTAGAATAATGGTGGCTAGAGCCCTGACTTCGCTGCCTGCATCCTTTGGGCCCTAGGCCCATGATACGCCTTCTCCTGAGCGCGTGTCCAAATGTAGGTGTCCCAGGTGTGCAGGGCGAGCTTCCACCAGCAGGACTGTGAGCACGTGTTCAAGAGATGCAGCGCGTGGAGCCCTCTGCCAGGGGCAGAGCCAGGGGCACTGTGCAGCTGCCAGCGTGTGGACCAGACTTTGAGGACGGGCATGGAGGTGGGCAGGCAACAGTACTTCCAGCTGCTTCCCGTGGAGAGGACAACTGGGCCTGGGAAGACCAGCTCCCTGGCCGGAAGCAGGAACCTTTGTGCAGAGCTGTCAGCCCAGTGGCCCTGCCCAGACCCACGGCCGGAGTATGTGCAGTCACAGGAAGGGACTCAGGACACCTCTTTCTCAGGCGTTCTGCCCTCGCCCTTGGCCTTCCCGTCACCCTGCCTCAGACTGCCCGAGCTGTCCCGTGTTGGAGATGCCTGGGGCCTTCAGCTCCGCTTCCAGCAGACCACTGCTTGTCCATTGGCCTGGCCTGTATTTTCCACATGTGATGTCCTGGCCAATTTCCGCCATCAGCAAAGTCCTTTTCATCGCGTCATAAATCTCATGGAGGGAACAAACGCACACAGCGAAACCCACACCGTTTAAGTTCAGGGATTTGTGTTGGATGGGAGTGAAGGGAAGGAAAGTTGATTCAAATACAGAAAACACTGAGTTCACTAGGCATTTGCTGATTGACCTGTGTGTTTTGCCCCGTGCCAGGAGCCAGGGAGACTGCCGTTGTCCCTCTTTCAGACGCCATACTCTCGTGTCACACAGTCTCCTTTTCTAAAGCCACCCTGACTTCCCCTCGAAGGGGAGACATTTCTGGACCTGCCATTAGCCGTTCTTGGGCGTGTGGAGTGGGGACGAAGGGGGAGCACTGATGTCTTTCTTAGTGACTCATTTGATGATTACACCATTGTTTGAAGGGCTGGACGTTACATAATCAACACTTCACCACCCTCCCCCCCAATCTGGGATTTTCCATCATTTTGTCAACCTTCCTGGAGGCATGTTGATTTTTCCACTAGATTTTTTGGGCATGTCCCAGGGCAACGCAAACTGTCCCCGCCCTAGAACCTCAGATCGCGGCTTGCTGGCGGCTGGGGAGCAGCTGCGTGAAGCCTCCGGTCCCCCCAGGGCCGATGCTGGGCTCCGAGCGCTTCCTGACAGCACCCAGGCGACCGCTGCCTTCTCGCTCCCGTGTCGCTCCCTTCGCTTCGACGTCCAGCGTAGTATATTGGCTCCTGTTTCTCAGAGGTCACCCATTTGTCATCTCTCCCCTCGTGTTTCCATTTCGTTCTGCCAGTGACACATTGCGTATGTCCGTGGGGTTTTGACCAGCCAGGTGCAGAGATGGCTAGTTGAGGAGCTTCTGCTGTAGCCGTGCCTGGCACCCAGCCCTTTGGTCTCCAGCTTCGTCCGGTGCACAGAAGATCCCGGCCGAGGGAGGGCTGCAGGAATCACTGCGGGGAATGTGCCACTGCCTGGAGGTCACAGCATGGCCAGGGGGGATGCTTATGTCATGTTTGCTTATTAACTTTTTGTGGGAAATTGTGCCCGAGGTGAATTCAGAGGATTTTAAACTGGAGTCACATTTATGCATTCTTGTTGTTTAAACAGTTTTTTTTTTTTATTGATTTTTAAAGAGAGAGGAAGGGAAAGGGAGAGAGATACAGAAACATTGATAAGAGAGAACATCGATTGGCTGTCTCCTGCATGCCCCCCATTAGGGATCGGGCCCACAACCTGGGCATGTGTCCTGACCGGTAATCGAACCAGCAATCTCTTGGTGCATGGGTCGATGCTCAGCCACTGAGCCACACCGGCAGGGCCATCTTAATCATTTTTGAGTGTGCAATTACGTGGAATGTTGTATACCCATCACCACCACCCCTCTCAAGAGCTCCTTTTATCCTGCAAAACTGAAACTCTGTCCGCATCAAACGACATGTCTTCCTTCCTCCAGGCCCTGCCAACCACCAGTCTACTTTCTAGTCTTACTGCTTCACATAATTTATCTTTCTGTGACTAGCTTATTTCACTTAACATAACGTGAAGGTTCATCCATGTTGTGTATGTCAGAATTTCCTTCCTTTTTAAGGAAGGAAATAATACTGCATTGCATGAATAATATTGTATTGTGTGCATATACTACATTTGCTTATCTATTTTCCTGCTGATGAACAAACACTTGGGTTGTCTCCACATTTTCTATATTGTGAATAATGCTGTAGTGAACATAAGTGTACAAATATCCTGTTGAGACCCTGCTTTTAACTCTTTTGGATATATAGAAATCTCAAACTCAACAGCACCACCACCAACAAAAAAACCCTCAAACAACTCTTTTTAAAATGAGCAAAATGCTTGAATAGACATTTCTCCCAAAGAAGATGCAAAAATGGCCAGTAAGCACATGGAATAATGCTCAATATCTTCCTTCAGTCTTCATGGAAATCGATAATCAAACTACAGTGTGATATCACTTCATATTCATTAGGATGGCTACAGTCCACATCTCCCCCGAACCCCCTCACAAAAACAACAACCCAGAAAGTAACACGTGTTTGCAAGATTGTGCACTGTTGGTGGGAAATTGAAAGCATGTAGCCACTCTGAGGAAAACAAGTATGGCAGTTCCTTGAATAATTAAAAATAGAATTACCCTAAGGTACTCTTCTTAATGTAGCCATGCCATTCCTCTGTGTAAAAGTCTCAATGACTTTGTATCCTACTGAGGATAAAATGAGAAAGTCCTGAATACACTCCTTTGTTTACTTTTAAACATCATCTCAAGCAACTGGCTTCCTATCACTCCTGCTGTAGCTCCAGATCTTATTGATACTAAAATAGGCCAACTTTCTCTCCTCCTCCATCATGACCTTCATTTATGCTATTCCCTTTATCTAGGGTCATGATCATCTAACTTTAGTGGTCATGAGGATCCACCTGGATTCTGTGTCAAAAAACACAGATTTCTCTGGGCTCCACCCCCAAGAGGTTCTGATTTAGGAGGTCTGGACAGTGACTGAGAATTGGCATTTCTAACAATTTCCAGGTGATGCTGATACAGCTGGTCTGGGGACCACCACGTTGAGAACCAATGGTCTCGAGTATTTTGCTTTCTTAAACTCCTATGTGTCCTTTAGATCTCAAGTCAAATGTCTCTCTTCTCCTAAGGGTGACCTTCTCTGATTCCTCCAGACCAACAAGAATTCCTGTTATGTGTTAACATTTTATCTTCCACTTCTCCCCTGAAGCTGTTATTAATGTCTTGAACATTTAATTGTGTAAATAGTTTTTTAATGACTGTGCCTCCTGCCAGAATCTGATATCCAGCTCCATGAGGATGGGGATCATTTCTGTCTGTTTATTGCTGTCTCTCGAATTCCTTGCACATAGCAAGTGCTAAATAATTATTTGTTGAGTGGATGAATATTGTTATTTCCTTTTTACAGGTAACTGGAAGTATGTAATAACATTAATACTCTCAGTGAATTATGAAGGATAAGTAGGGACTATGGGGGAATTTGTGGAGCTGTACGGAAAGAATGAACATTCGTTGTCAGTCAGGGGTGTAGGGCATTCTGGACAAGAGTCAGTCTTTTCTTTTTTTTTAAGGGGCCTAGCACACTGTGGGAAGCCCCCTGCCAATTTTACCTGCCCTTATGAGGATATTAGTACAGTTATTTTTCAGCTTGCCTTCTTCAGACCATTCTTGCCCTATTATATTTTATGAGTGGCTAATTGCCTATTTAGTTTTTTTAAATTGAGATGTCATTGACATATAACATTATATTAATCTTAGTTGTATAAAATAATGATGTAACATCTGTATATATTGCAGAATGCTCCATCACTTATTCGGGTTTTATTATTCGTATGATGTTTTTTCTTACAGATATGGAATGTGCAGATGTCCCACTATTAACTCCAAGCAGCAAAGAAATGATGTCTCAGGCACTGAAAGCCACTTTCAGTGGCTTCTCGAAAGAACAGCAAAGACTGGGAATTCCAAAAGGTATGTTTTGTCCTTGGGACAGAGAGGTTAGGAGCCGACTCTTAGGTGAGGTTAGTTTTCTCAGCTGCAGTAGACATTACTGCTGACCACAGTCCAGTCGGCAGCTACCCGTCTTTGCGGATTTTATGCGAACAGTCGTAGACACGTGCTAATACTTCTCCATCTCCCAGGTCCGTCACTGCCACCTTGGTCTTAGGGCACTGTTCCCAAATTTGCACATTAAATGCAGCATCTTCAAAAAATTCCCCAGCTCAGGCCATGTCCCAGACCAATGAACTCACAGTGGCTGGTAACATAGTAGTATCCTTGAAGCTCCTCAAGTGATTCCAAACGACAGACAATTTGGAAAAAAACATGGTTTTAGAGTCGTTCTGGGCTGCCATTGGATGAACTCAGTGAGCTCCGCTTCTTGGAATTTACTGGTTGTCTTTTCTTTTACACGGGCTGTGGGGAAATGTGTTTATTCTTGGGTGTTCTCATCTGAAAGGGTTTATTCAGGAATGCAAGGGGACTGGAGTTGTCAGAAAGGAGAAATGACTGCAGAACACTTAAGCCTTCACCAGGCAACATTTCCTGAATAGCTGTGAGCAGAAAGAACACTGTGCTATTGAGGAAGGGCGGTGCTGTGTTGAGAGTGGTCATGAGAGGCTCCCACTGTCAGAACCAAGCCTTAGGCAGAGCCTGTGGATGCATCCGTGCACCTTTCCCCACGTGCGTGACTCAAATCCACCGCGTGCCTCTGCCGACAGCAATGCCCAGCATCCTTTTCGGATCACGAGGCAGGATAAAGTGAACCCTGACCAACCCCCCATAAAGTCACCTGCTCACTTGAAAGGGGGTAACCTGGTGAGCAGGTGTGAGGTGGGCCACCTGCCTGAGCTGTTTACGTGCCGTGGCTGGTGTGGCCACCTGAGAGCTTGGGCCACGCCTGACGATGGTCTGTTCTGTGGTGCTAGTCGGCGCCAGGCCTGTGCGGGCGACATACTCTGCAGGGCCTCATGCAAGGCAGCCACCTAATAATGTTATCATACTGTTGTCATTACTAAGTACCATTCGAATGACTTACTAATTGCTGTGATTATTACCAACCACAATTAGCTAAGATAAAAATAAAGATGAAGAATAACAGTGTTAAGTACACTGTAGGAGTGCAGGGCAGGGGGAGGGGAGTGTCATCTCCGGAACACACTGCACTGGGTCATTCTCGCTTTAACAAACAACTTCAGTCATTTGTTCCTCGTTCCGGGCTTTACAAAAAAAAGTCTGATGGAAATAAGGCAACGAGACGGGCCAATCTGGGAAAATGGTCTGGCTGGAGAGTAGAAAATGCTCGTGTGATGCTTTTTGGCTGACGATAGTAATGTGGCTGGTAGGTAGAGAAGGTGGGATGCCGGACGTGGTGGGGAGGACGGAGCCCCATGCACCTGCGGGCTGGTGCTCCCCAGTTCTCTGAATCCGAGAACATCCTCAGCTCAGAGTCCTCTCCAAGGCTTGGGTTCAAATTCAGAGCCTGACTTGCTGGATCTTCATTTGATCTCTTCCCTCAGACCCCCGGCAGTGGACAGAGACCCATGTTCGGGACTGGGTAATGTGGGCTGTGAATGAGTTCAGCCTGAAGGGTGTGGACTTCCAGAAGTTCTGTATGAATGGAGCAGCTCTCTGTGCCCTGGGGAAAGACTGCTTTCTCGAGCTGGCCCCAGACTTCGTTGGGGACATCTTGTGGGAACATCTTGAGATCCTGCAGAAAGGTAAATGTGTGTGGATGGAGCGCGGGGTGGGGTAGCTGCGAGCGTAGGTAGGCGAATAAATGGGCCCGATGGGGGGCCCTCGATGCCATCATCTGTGGGTGTCCCGTCACAGCCGATGTGGTCTAAGGAGACATGCCAGGTCAGGTGCTCAACACATGTTAGTTTCTTTTCTTCTATGCCTGGGAGGTTCCGATTTTAATCTTCAGCAAGATCGTACTCCCGACGCTGCTTGGCATGCGAAATTGTGATCCCAGCCCTTAGCTCAGATTCATGACTGTTTCACCAGCAGTTGCCCACACCCAGCTCCAAGGCTTTTTCCTAGTGATCTTAGCGCACATGCCCTTTGTCCACGGCAGCATGCTTCCCGGCCCTGCCCGCGGGCAGCCGAGTTCTCAGTGCTGGTTCGTAAGACAGGCTGCTCGGCCCACTAGCCGGGTTGGAATTGCAGTAGCGTGGTGTACCTTGTCATCTGGAGCAGAAACCGGGGTCATGTCAGGACACGGTGTTGCAACCTTGTAATGACATGGCCTCCCCTGCTAGTCTCTTCCAACCTTTTTGGACCAAGTGACTCATGAACCACAGTCCTGGCTGAGTATAGGAACAGCAGCAGGCGGCAAACTTGGGTGTTTTTGCGCTTATTTTTCTGAATTTCTTCCTAAAATAAATTGCAGTTACCAGCAGTCAGCAGTGCCCTCCAGCTGACTGTAAGGCTAGAAGCCCGTTGCCCTCTCTGACCCAGGCCCACCCTCTCCCTGTGGTCACCGCTCCAGCCCTTGGCGCAGACCCCGGGGCCAGGGAGCAACACTCGGGATTAGCACTTTTCCTCCATATAATACCTTCCTTTGTCTAAGGATCTTTTCCACTCTGCCGTGCTCAGGAGGGACCCAAATTAGACTCCCCTGGGCACAGAAGTGTTATCTTTTTTCCTTCGCTTCAGCTTCTTCTGAAAAATAAATAAACAGACACAGGCAAGAATAGGTGACCGTGGCTGCGGTTGCCCTGGCGAGGGCTGGGTGGCCTTCCCCGCAGCACCGGCCCGGCCCGTGGCGCTGTGGACACCCCCTCGTACGCGCTGATGGGAGCGGCCTGTTTATGGAGGGAAAGATACTCAGGCTCATGAGAGTCCCATGTGACCGCTGGCTTATCCTCAGGACAGTGAATGCTACCGGACCGCGTAACCCCCGTATCTTTTGCTAATCACCCCGTTTTCCTCCATGTAAGCACCATGGAACGGCCAGGTGCCCTGGAGTGTGCTCTGCCTCTGATCATCATTGTCATTAATACCTATATAGCATCTCCTGGTTTCCCGTGTTTTCAAATCCATTTCCTCTTTGGATTTTCACCACAGCCCTGAGCGATGGAAGGGCATGTTCCTTTCCTTCTGTAAGGGGAGGACCGTTAGGTGGTTTTCTCATCACTCACTTTCTTAAACCTATGTCTTTTCAATTTAGTTTCCTTCTCTGTGTTCTTGGTATAATAACATGGGCTCAAGAGAGGTTTGCTACCTTCTGGCAGAAGGGTAACTTAAAGGAATTTAGTAGCATTAGGAAATAATTGAGTCCGATTTTTTTGTTTTTGTTTTTGTTTTTTGCATTTATCTTCAGATAGAGCGGGAGGGAGAGAGGGAGGAAGAGAGAGAGAGAAACATCGATGTGACAGAGACACATCGACTGGCTGCCACCCACACGACCCCAACCAGGGCCGGGGACCAACTGCAACTGAGGTACGTGCCCTTAGCAGGAACCGAACCCAGGCCTCTCTGGTCCGCGGGCCGATGCTTTAACTGCTGAGCCAAACCAGCCAGGGCTAATTGAGTCCATTTGAGAGCCAGGTCGCACCCTCCAACCCTTTTTCTGTCTAGAGAGGCAGTAAGAATCGTCCGTCTTGAGATCCTTGAAGAGCTGAGCGAGATATTTGTAGTGAAGCTACCCCTTTGGTTCTGGGATTCAGCTAAAGCGACTCAGCCCAGAAAAAGAACATAGCTGTTTGGGGTGGGGTGGAAGGCCAAAGGTACAGGGGGTGTTTCAATCTGATAAGCTGCTAAGGCAGAGTTTAATCATTTTATCTCAACTGGGAACTGTTTTTCTGTGCAGGCATAAACTTGTTTTCCCAGCAGCATCTGCTCCCAGCAAGCAGATACCTGAGGAAAGTCCAACCCAGCACTGTCTGTGTCTGACCGGACAGTGAGAAAGAACCAGACTCCGCCACACAGTGGTCAGAGGCCAGGGGGTTGAGTCAGGGTAGCGGGAGGATCTGTGAGCTCGCCCTGGTCAGCAGAGAGCCTCTCTGTGCACCCCCACCTGCATTCCCTTCTCATTCCTGGGGAACTTGGCCCCTGGGCAGCACTTTGGTCAGGTTGCTTTCCTGTCTTTGCAGGCACCCTGTCATATGTCACCAGACAGTTACCTTGCTGGTGTCCTGCTGGGCCTGCACTTGCAATCTGAGGCAGTGGAAAAACCACATAACAAAAAGCAGACATCTGTTAGAAGACACGGACGCCATAAAATCTACCTGCTTAAAGATTTTCGTCCATTTCTGAAAAGTTGTAGAGCTGGTCAGTTTGAGCATGGAGGACTGATTTGGGTACCTGCCCACGCTGCCCTCTAGCTTTGATGCCAATGCGGTCCACGCACGCACGCACGCACGCATCAGAGTGAGGGCGGAATGCCTCCCCAGCCCAGAGAGATTACTCACTGGTGCTCTTTCCAAGACAATTAAATCCCACTTTGCTGCTACTGAAATAGTAAACTTAGCCATACGTTTGTGATCTCATTTCTAGACAAAGCCCCAGGCAGGGTGGACTCAGTTAAAGAACAGGCAGGTTTCTTAGAAGAGGGGCTGAGCTCATTGTGGTCCGTGCCCCCAAGACCCTTTCAGGCCAAGGATCTGACCTCTCTGCTTCGTTCCCTATCCCGTGTGTTACAGAGGATGTGAAACCGTACCAAGTTAATGGAGTCAACCCCACTTATCCTGAATCCCGTTATACCTCGGATTACTTCATTAGTAAGTTCACCTTCCACTGTCCTTCCCTCCCCTGCTCATTACAGTGAGAACTCAGGAAAGGAACCCTGTCCCAGCTGAGCTCCAGCTCCTTCGTGGTAATTCTCTGGTAAACAAGATTTTCTTAAATGTAGACTGTTGGTTATTTATTTCATTTTCCCCACAAAGCACAGGGCGTCAGCCCACGTACATGTTTCACTGACCTGCAGACTGCTCGCCGTGGTCTCTTTCTGATGCCACCAGGGCTGCAGCGCGATTCCTCCGGGAGCCTGTGCTCTGCGGGGCCGTCGGAGGTTTGGGCCAGGGGTTTGGTCATGGCCCTTGCTCTCTGCCTTTTCCGGTGGACACGACAGCCTTTCTCAGGGGTGTGCCATGTGCCATGCCGCTTCAGGTTTTGTCACAGGAAACAAAACCTGTTCCTTCCAGCATTGAGCAGAGTTCACATAGGGACCGTCTTACCTGACGGTGTTGCTTCCAAAGGGATTTAAGCAGCTTTGTTTTTGTTTTATTTCTCACTTTAAGATTTTTATTCTAAGAACAACAGTGATTTTTTTTTTTTCTTTGGTACGTGCCCCTAGCGGGAACCGAACCCGGATCTCTGGTCCACAGGCCGATGCTCCAACCGCTGAGCCAAACCGGCCAGGGCAGAACAACCGTGATTTCAACTACTATGTAGTAAGAGCTTGTGTGCCAGAAATGTTGGTAGGCATTTTGCATATATGCTCTCATTTGATTGTTATCACAACGCTGCGAGGAAGACTGCAGTCATCCCCATGTTAGAGATGAGGCAATTAAGTCAGAGAAGGGAGGTGTCCTGCCAAGCGCCATAGCAATTACGAAGTGGAACAAGGTTAAACAGCCAGGCCCTTCTCACTGAAAGTGTGTTTCTTTTGCCCTCTAAGGTAGTCAGCTCGTTTCACCTTGTGGGGCTGGTGTAAGTGGTGAAGATCTGCTTGTTTTAGGTACAAGTGTCTCCCCACTTTAACATCACACGCTGTCTGTTTCCAGGCTATGGCATCGAGCATGCTCAGTGTGTTCCTCCTTCGGAGTTCTCAGAGCCTAGCTTCATCACAGAGTCCTACCAGACGCTGCATCCCATCAGCTCCGAGGAGCTCCTCTCCCTCAAGTATGAGAACGACTACCCCTCGGTCATTCTCCGGGACCCTCTGCCGACAGACACCTTGCAGACTGACTACTTTGCCATCAAACAGGAAGTCGTAACACCAGACAACATGTGCATGGGGAGGACCAGTCGTGGTAGGTCAGATTTCTTCTCCAGAAGCTCTTGGTTTCCAAGAAATACCTAACTCTGTGAGTTTTTCAGGTCTCCTGTGTCCCCCTCACTACGGGCCCTGGGTGTTCCTTTCCATCTTAGACTGTCTAGATACTAAGAATTTCCCATCAAGTCCATCAGGATGACAGAGACTCTGGGTTCACGGTGGAATTGAAATCTGGCAGGATGACCAATCAAATTTTGTGTTTGGATGAAACATTTTACCAAGTAATAACTCTAGCTGAATGTGGTTGTTCATTAAGTTATACTTTATTATTTTTTGGAGTGGATTTTGCTAAAGGAGGACACAATCGAATAAAAGTGGTTCAGGTGAGCCTCCTGGCAAGCCCTTAGTTTGACATTGCCCCGATGTTCCCCAGAGCATTCTGGGTCAGAGTACAGAACCTGTCTGGGTACGGCCGCGGCCTGCCTGGCCTCTCCGGCCCTCGGAGACTTCTTTGGTTTGGGAAGATACAAGATGGTTAACCAATAGTTTATTTGGAACCGGTCATCAGCAGTGTGGTGAAAGTGTGTATTTAGCTGGAGGACCGAGAAAAGGGGTGGCCAGAGGCTTCTAAAAGAAGGTACTCTTGTTGACATGACTATTATGACATGAACAAAATATTCACTGACAGTGAAGTAAATGTTTCAGAATAGAGCCGGTTGACTTTATAAAGCAACAGAAGTGAAACACACTCAGTTGGTAAGATCAGGACATAAACACCCAGCGAGGCAGCCCGCCTAGTAACGCGTGCAGATAGTCTTGTTTCCAAGACAAGTGCAGTCCATCCCGAGGAGGGAAGAACTAGCTGATTTCTAAAATGTCGAAAAGGATGGCTGTTCCGATAGATAAATGGGAAAGCACCAAAACAGGAAGAGGAGCAGCAGAAAGCCCATGCGAGGGCTCAGGGGGCTTTGTTCGCAGAAGGCAGGCGCGGCGGGCCTCCTAGGCACTTCTGCTCAGCGATCGCCCTGTAACTCCGAGGCACTGGGAGCGGGGAGAAAGGCATCGTTACTTTGAAGAATCACCCGTCCGCATCATGGGCCGTATAACAGTGTCAGGTTTACACTTCCTCCCAGCAGCCTCAGGACAACCAGCCGGCCCTGCACAGGGAAAGTCCCCAGCAAAATCAGAACCTGTAATCTTTCTGCTTCTGGCCCCAGGCTGTTTGTGTTTCAGCCTGAGGCGATGGGTGGGATCAGTTTGCCTTCCCCTTTCTGCCTCTTTATTTTTGGATGCGTGTCTATTTAAATACATACACAAATGTGCATGAGTATCTTTTCCTTCAGGCAGGTTCAGAGCATTAGAACAGCTTTCTTTCTTGTGGGGCTTCTGTACCTCTATGGGATGAGGCTGAGCTGTGGGTTTGGGGCTCAGCCATGTCGTAACTTCGGGTAGAGCTGCTGTCACATGTTTTCAAATTGCATCTGGCTTTGCATTTGTGTAATTGTCCCTGCTTCTCCTTCTCTTGGTTCTTGGTTTCTGTCCCCACCACTCCTCCAACCCCAAAGTAATAACTGTGGAGCAGATAGTGACCCGTGCAAAGGGACGTGAGGTATTTCTCTCTGGCCTCGTTCTCCTACCCTCACAACAAGCTGCAGACCACACAGACTGGAGGGGCAGACTGTCCTGCTCACAACTGCTCTTCTGCATGTTAGCGGCGCTGCACACAGGACATAGTTCAGGGCTGATCGAATCTGACATGGTGTGTGATTGGTCTAGACTGGAAGCATTACTGTTAGCTGATTGTTACTAATAAAACAGTATTCATATGCAGTACTGCATTGCAGCATACAAAGTGCTCCTCTGTCCCACCTACTTAGACTCAGAAATGCCATTATGCTAGTCTGTTCAGGGCGTTGCTGGGGCTACCCCATCTGCTGTTTTGAGGGCTCTGAGGTCTGCTGGGTAGAGTCAGATAGCTTTGGAAGGGCCTTGCTGAGACATTTCTCAGAAAAGTCAGCCAATGGACGTCTTCGACGACACGTGCTTCCCTGCATGAGCACAGTAGCACGGCCGGGTGTCTGAGGTAGTTGGATTCAACCCATTTTTGGAGAAAATGCCTGTAAACAAAGGTTCCTAGCTCCCGGATGGTGCAATAGAGCTCAAATGAAAGCAGCTATAAACTGCAGCTGGCAACAGAGTTGCATTTGCTCGTGTTTGGAGGCTGCCAGAGCGTGATGATGTCCAGGTCAGTGTCCTTGCTCATCGGGACTCCTTGGAAGTGCAGCTGTCTGCTTGTGGGAATTCAGGTCTCCGGGCCCCCAAGAAAAACGGCTGATCGAGATAGGATCACCCCAGAGAGACTTATGTACAAATACATCCTAAATACCGGTGACTCGGCCAGGTGTTCTTTTTGAAAATATAGATTCTCTTTCTTAGGCTTTTGGTGTGTTTGTCTCACAGAGACATTGAATGGACATTAAGATGAATAGCTTTTTATGAGATGCCATAAAATGTCCTGTTCTGTTAAAAAGAAGGTATTGCATTCTGGTTGTGGACTGTTTTCTGGAGTCTTTTAATGTGGCAGTTCCTTCATTTGTAAAGAATTGCGGATGTGACAGTGGACTGGGTAGGCAGGGCAGATACCTCCATGAAACTCTTCAATATGACTTCTGGACATTATACTTCTTTGAATTGATGATTGGAGGAAGGACCAGGAAGAAGCAAATCAATAACTATATTTCTGTTATAAGCAGTATTGGAGGGGATCAGAGGTTTGGGAAATCTACGATAGTAGATTATATAAAATTACATATTTAATCGATTACCTTTATTCTGGGATAAAAAAATCTTTCCAAATTAAACATTTGAATTTCATTCTTTTAACCAATCTCCACTATCAAGGAATGGGAGACTACACCCAAAACACACTCGTATCGGGTTGTATTGGCCAACCTTATTCTGGAATTTAAACGTGATAGTATATCAGCCATCCCTGAACCACTGAGATTAGACTTATAGGTATTTCTACATGCAGATTTGTCACATACTCTGCCTCGTGACTTGTGCTGAGCTGAGGTGGCCAGTTAGTCACCCAGGCTTGAATTTAGGTTGCCTGAAAAGTATCGGAAAGTAGAACTTAGAAAATATTCCTGTGAGCCTTTCCAAGCTCTTAGATGCATTTTCCTCCAAATTTTTGTTTGTTAGCCTCCCCTTTTAATGGCATTTTTGCCAATGGAAATTTCTCTTGGAGTGATTATGCAACGATAGCAGCTGTTTACAACCTGGTTTGGGAAATTAATGAACTTGCGTGATCTTGTGGTCAGATAAGAATGCCTTAAGCAACTCATGGGGGGGGGGGGGGTGTTTCTGACACTGCTGTGGACCTTAATAACTCTTTCATCAACTCCATTGTTTTTTATTGCCCACACTTCCCCAATGAAGTATAAATTTCAAGTCCAAAATTGTCCTTGGGAGAGAATAAACAGTATGGATTTCTGTTTAGCAGAGTGATTGTGTGTGTGTGTGTGTGTGTGTGTTTTAATCTCCTGGAAAAGGCATCTCATTACTTCTTTCTCTGCTTGAAAAGACAAGACACAGAGGCAGTACATGTATTTCATTTTAAAATAGTATTTGGAAAAAAATGCCAAAAAAATAATACTTCACTTCCAAGGTCAAGGAAGGTCAATCTGCTCTTAGTCTAATGGAATTTTTTTCTTATGACCAAAATATTTTGCCAAATTGGGCCTTTTGAAATTATCTCAATTTCAAAAGGGTTAGGGAATTGAGCCACACTGCTCTGATCTCTTCATTTATCCATTCAATCGAATACATGTGTGATTCTCAGCTTTTAGATTTCTGGCTCTAGGGTTCTTGAGGTCCCTTTGACAGGCAGGAGCAGCCCTTGGCTCTGAATCTCTGTCCTGGGAGCTGGGGAAGAAGAGTCCACCGCACGGTGGCTCTCACATTGTGGCCCCCCTCCCCCAGAGCAAACCCAAGCTCCCGTTCCCACCGGCTCTCCCTTCTTCCATGCCTCCTGCAGGTCTGATGAGCAACCGGTCTCACTCAGAGGGTTTTTACAGTTGTCTTTTCCCAATCCCTCCTCCCCTGCCCTCTTCCTACCTCCTCCTTCACCTCCAGGTAAACTCGGGGGCCAGGACTCTTTTGAGAGCATAGAGAGCTACGATAGTTGTGACCGCCTCACCCAGTCCTGGAGCAGCCAGTCATCTTTCAACAGCCTGCAGCGCGTCCCCTCCTATGACAGCTTCGACTCCGAGGACTATCCCGCCGCCCTGCCCAACCACAATCCCAAGGGCACCTTCAAGGACTATGTGCGTGACCGTGCTGACCTCAACAAGGACAAGCCTGTCATTCCTGCTGCTGCCCTGGCTGGCTACACAGGTAGGCGCTCGCCCCTACCTCTGGCCCCAGCGTGTGTGCTGGGGCGGCCCGTGGAGGCCTGTGCGCAGACTCCCCAGCACTGCCTCCGTCGTCTCCTTCTTGCGGGGAGTGGGGAGAAGGCTCTAGGAGGTCTGGCCAGTCTCTCAGGCCGCTCTGTTTATGAATAGCCATTGATTGTTGCAAGCCAACAGTATCCTCTGCCCCAAGGGATCACTTCCAAGAGTGGTAGGAAAAACTTATATTTTGGGCCTTTTCCCATATCTGGGGGAAGGGAACTATTTTAATTTGGCATTTCTGGAAACTGCCTAGTGGCTGAGCATCAAGGGACTTTCTCCAGCCTGCTCTTAGGAGGCCTTTCTAAACACAGAACCAGCAAAAGCGTCTCTTGAAGACATCACTGGACGGCCTGAACCCTGGACTCCGCTGTGGTGGGGTGTTCTTGAGGCGGGCTGTTCAAGTGGGAAGCGTGTCCTTAGTCACCCTAAGTTCGGGCACATCCTGGCCTATCCAGGAGACCTCTTTCCCCACGTAGCCGGATTATTGATTCCCTTCCAGGAGTGACAGCCACGGCAGAGGTGAATGGACAAAGGCTATAGAGAAAGAAAGATGTATGCTCAGGGCGTGGCTTTGACTGAGGAGCGGGTCTCGGGAGCGGACAGTGCGTTGTCCCGCAGCTCACCTGCTGCCTAACCCTGGACACGTTCCAAGGGCGTCTCGAGAACTAGCCAAGGAGCCCTGTGATGTTAAGGGTCAGATCCTCTCTGTGAGACTGTAGTGTTTTCTAAAAATTAGAGGGCAGCATAGTTTAGTGGGTCACTCATGTTTGGTCCAGGCCTCGATGCTTGTAATGTACTCCACCCTGGACAGGTTGCCCCGTGGGGGACCCGTTGTGTGGATGAAGATCAGTGAAATCTGTGTTTCTGTGGAGGTGTCTGCCTGCTCTGGAGAGTATCAGTGAAGTCTCAGTTTTTCCTCAACCAGCTGACATTTGAGAACAACTCACATGCTTAGAAAAATCTCTCCTTCATCCAAGATCAGAAGTGTGCCTACTGGTGCCCTTCGGAGCATGCGCAGGTGCTCAGGAGTTATGGCTGTGTTTTGAGGTAGTGACAAGGTCTCTGTATGGAGTCATAGGCCAGAAAGGAACTTAGAGGTCCCCTACCCTGTTCGTTCTACACTATTCCCCATGGTCTTTGCTTGAAGGTCACTAGTGTGTGGGAACTTACTTTTTTTTAAAAAAAAAAATTTATCTTTATTGTAGAAAGTATTACAGATGTTTTTCCTCCATTGACACCTTCACCACACTGTTGTCTGTGTCCATTGCTTGTGCATCTATGCATATAAGTTTCTTGGTTTCTCTCTCCCCCCCTTCCCCCCCCCTTCCCTCTGAGCTTTGTCTGTCTGTTTCCTACTTCCATGTCTCTGGATCTATCTGGGGGAACTTACTACTTTTCCATCTCTAGAGAGAAGACTATTAGAAAGTTTGCCCAGTTCTGTTAATGACATCTGGAATGAGGAAGAGCAAATTAAGTCTCTTTCAAGATGTACACAGTTCTGGCTTCTGTAGTGATGAGTATCCTTGTAGGTAATTTAAGAAGGACACCCCAGTTGGATACCGTGGTGGAGGGAGAGTGCTGCTTAATTAGGAAGAGAAAGGAAAGGCTGAGGTGGCTGGAAGGTGACAGGGGCTCTGGAGGTGGCAGGCATCTCCGTCTGAGATGCTCTGTGCTTGGGGTGCAGGGAGACATCGCCCAGGCACAAAGGCCAAGTCTTCTACAGCTTGCACCCTAACTTCCAGTACCATCTCCCCAACTCAGTTTTTCCTTGTTGAAGGCGTGTCTTTGCTCTCTGTGGTGTAATTACCACTCTAACCACCATCCACTCCTCAGCCATGGTTCTCTTGCCATGATGATTTTCATCATCCTCTCTTCTACATATGCGATTCCATAACCTTTATAGTCAGGGCAGTTCTGTGGACAGTAAGATTAAATGAACTGACTCTAAGGCCTAACGTTTGGGTTATGGCCAACGAAAGCCTTGTGATTTAGATCAACCTTCTAGGAGTGAGATTCTGGTAAGGAAGGGTTCAGGGAGACACTGCAGAAGGTCTGGATGTTTCCAGAAATGGTAAAAGCCTGATTTCCACCTCAAATGGAAACGTCTCTGAAAGGATTGCATGTATTAGTTACTAGATTTTCTACATGGGGGAAGCCTGCAGAGCCAATGGCCCGCAAGAGGGACGTAAAAGGTTTTGTCTGAGATGGTTTTAGTACCTTGACGGGAATTAGCTGAGAGTTGGGAGGTCTTTCCAAGTGTTCCGGGTTTCAAGAGAGAAGGAAAGAGATGAATTAGAGACTCTAAGGACTAGGAACCAGTGTGAAGTACAAACTGGGGACACGAGCAATCAAGATAGGCAAAAAGCTACGCGTACGGTTCTCTGGCCGTCCAAACTGGAGGATGAACAGCTACAAGTATCAAAGTTCCTTTAGCACAAATAGAAACATGTCCTGTAAGTCTGAGTTATGTTTGATCCTTTATTTTGATATACTGTTGTTAAGAGCTACCCCTTCCTTTCCTGTCCTATCCCTCCCTCCCTCCTTCCTCCCTCCTTCCTCCCTCCCTCCTTCCTTCCTTTCCTCCTTCCTCCCTCCCTCCCTCCCTCCCTCCCTCCCTTCCTTCCCTCCTTCCTTCCTTCCTTCCTTTCCTCCTTCCCTCCCTCCCTCCCTCCCTCCCTTCCTTCCTTTCCTCCCTCCCTCCCTCCCTCCTCCTCCCTCCCTCCCTCTCTCCTTCCTCCCTCCCTCCCTCCCTCCCTCCCTCCTCCCTCCCTCCCTCCCTCCCTCCCTCCCTTCCTTCCTTTCCTCCCTCCCTCCCTCCCTCCCTCCTCCCTCCCTCTCTCCTCCTCCTCCCTCCTCCCTCCCTCCCCTCCCTCCTTCCTTCCTCCTCCTTCCCTCCCTCCCTCCCTCCTCCCTCCCTCCTTCCCTCCTCCCTCCCTCCCTCCCTCCCTCCCTCCCTTCCTTCCCTTTTCCTTCCTCCCTCCCTCCCTTCCTTCCTTCTCCCCACCTCCCATTCTCTCTTTCTCTGTTTTAAAATAAGACATTTAGTAAGAAGAACAGACGAGGGGGTGACTATTAATTACAGGTCTCAAAGACTAAAGTAAAAAAAAAATTTTAATGCTTTTTATTTTTTTTAACCTTCCATAGTTTCTTCTTTAAAATTGTAGGTTTAACTTTTCATACCATCTCAAATGCTGGTGAGAACAATAGCCCTGAAAACAGAAGTCCTAGGTGTTCCCTCCCAGCTCTAACACACTGTGTGATTTTAGGCAAATTTACCTTGTACCCGTTTCTACTTTTAGCGAAGTAGAAGTGCTCATCCTTGTCTTGGTAGATCTGTGAAAATATAATTGAACCAAATCAATGAATTAAACAAATAAGTGCTAGACATTGGGCAAGACATAGGGGAGGTGCGGGGGGAGGGGGGGAGCTCAATTGTAACAAATCAATTATTTCAGCAAATGTTTCCAAGCACATGTTGAGTGCAGATAAGTGCTTGAAGCTTTTGAGGGTTCACTATCTTGTCAGATTCAATATAGTATAATTGTCTTTAGACTAGAATTGGATTTTCTTATTGCTGTGGTTTGAATGAAGGTCAGGATTTGTTAGGCATATGGGGAGTGGGGGAGCCCCTGTTTAGATGAGTTTTTTTCTTCTGCTCAGTGCCTGGTGTACGCTTCTTGCTTACACTGCGAACTGATTGTGGGTGGTTCTTTGCTTTTGCACCCTGACTGTGGCCCCTCCACATTTCAGGTACACTGGGGCATTGGGGAAGGGCGGGGCATACCAGTTCAGCCCCCAACACTGCCCAAAGAGCAGACGGGACTGGGACACAGATGGGTCTCACTCTCTGCAGACATGTTAAGGGATGAGCTGAAGTTTGAAAAAGTACTTTGGAAGGTGGAAATCAGTGTATACGTTTTGGCAAAACCTTTCAACGCTTGTAAAAGTCACACCTATTTTTTATCTCAAGTTCTGCCTTCCGTGTTTGTTTTTTCCCTTCAAAGCCGGTTGTCCAGAGTGTGTGGCCACACAGTGGGAACACGTGTGCCCTGTGTGACTGTCGTATGGCCTGGATCGCGGCTGCGTGCACGGATTCTCTGAGCTGGGAACAGAGTCATTCCGTTTTCTTGCGGTCACACCAGGAGCCTAGGTCTTCATCCATATCTCCTTCAAAGAAATGCATTTTATTTCTTCATAGATGTCTTAGTTACTGCACTATAAGTGTGGGAATCAGTTAGAAACTGAATTTTCACATTTTCTTGCACAGTTACATTCTTCCTCCAAAGATAAGAAAATTGCATCAACCTTCACTGGGCTCCCATGGCAACTTGTTAAATTAGGTCAAGATGTGGGGGCAGATAACATGGCTTGAAAGCCTGCCTGTTAGCTGAGTTAAGAATACATCAAATGCAATGCTGGCTTCCGCCAAAATGTACCTTCTTACCTTACTGTGAACTGCTTATGGTTATCAAACTGATACAATCAGAAAGCTCCATTTTCTCTTGTTCGGTGATACATTACGAACCTCATCTAATTAAGAAAACAATCTGAGACAAGCCACCCAATGGTTTTTACGTGTTTGATAGACCTAAGCAAAATCTTTCTAGATCCTTGAAAAACACAGGCACCTCTGATTCTGTTTCAGGTTCAGCAGCTATAGAATCACACACTGGATTATCAAAGAGTATTGTCTCTGTCCCCCCAGCCCCATTTTATAGATGATGAAACCGAGGCATAAAAAACGCCTTTCAAGGTCACCTAATTGCAACTTCCACAGCAGGTAGCTCTGAATCAAATCTTAGGTGCTGAATGTCTCACCTGCATATGCATTTTTTCTCCATATTAAGGAATGAAAATACTCATAGGTTATCATCTCAGTCACCTCTTCAGAGCAGATTGGAGGCCTTGTCTCCCACTGGTCACTAATTAGCGCTGTACGTGTGT